GGTGGAGAAGATGCAACAGTTCATCTCAATTAATATAGGTTCTCGATCTAATGGCTCACAAATATTTTCGGGCCAATTTCCATCGGATCCTTCAGCACCTGCAACAATTTGAGTTTTTATTTGTCACTTTTTGTTGAACATTAAAAATTTAGTCAACTTTATAAATTTTTAACTTTTTATTTAAAAACAAACATATATAGTTCTATAATATATTTGGTTCAATATATTTGTCTGATTTGAATTAATTACATTTATAAATTGATATTTACATTTTAGAATTAAATTTTAAAATGTCTAAGATAAATTAAATATTATATATATAATAAAAATGGGCGATGACAATTATATTTCGATGTTGTAGACTTTTAGCTATGAAATACATTCAACGTTGAAAAGTTTTGCTAATGACTTTTACGTTTCATCGCTAATAGTTTCAAGTGACGAAATATAAAGTACCATCGTGTTATACTTTAAACGACATATATAGAGATTACATTGCTATTAACTTTAGGCAACAACAACTCATATTTTATAGCACTATATGTTAGGCGACAAAACATCAAATTTTGTCACTGTATACTTTAAGCGACGCATACAATTATAATGTTGCTATTAATTTTATGCAACAAAAATGCACATTTAGTCGCGGTATATTATAGGCGAGCAAGATTCACATTTCGTCATGGTATACATTAAGCGACACAAACACATATCTCGTCGCGGTATACGTTAAGTGACAAAAACACAAATCTCGTCGCGATATAGAGTAAGCGACACGATAGAGAGTACACCACTATTAACTTTAGGCGACGACATTTAATATTTCACCGGTAACTAGTTTTAGCAATGAAAATGGTATAGGCGACAATTTTTTGGTTTGTCGCCAGATTTAGTGTAATTTTAACAAATTGTCACCTAAAATCAAGCGCGACATACCTACCGCAACAATCGTGGCGACAATTTTCTTTCATCACTAAACGTATACCGCAATGATTTCCAAGTTTTTAGCAACTAAAAAATTTGTAGCTAAAAGCCCTTTTTGTTGTAGTGTGTATTGTCGATTTCCATAAATGGGCTACTTTGCTCTGCTTCAATCATTCTCTTAAGTCTTTCCTTTTCTCTTATTCATATCTATTATTACCTATCAATTACTAAAAGATGAATTTCAACATCTTCTGTGGTTGGATGAAATATTCTATTTTGGAGGAGCATACTGGGGACAATTATATTATAAATATATATTTTTATTTTCTGAAATTATTAATAATAGAAGGATCTTGTCTATGAATATTTATTCACTTAATGAGTTTACTTCACAAGTTAGGTCCACACTTTGTGATTATTAGATTGTTTTAGATGGAGGAAATGTTGTCTTTTCAGTAGTTGAAATTGGGTTACTTTACAAGTAATAAGAATTTTGTTTATGGTTTCAGATTGATGAGAATTTTCAGAGGGAGATCATCAACCACAAATCTTTGAGGCATCCAAACATTTTCCGTTTCAAAGAGGTAAGACTATAGTTTGTTTAATTTGAGAGAATTGTTGAAGTTTGTAAATATTTAGGGGAAATTTAAGCACATTGGGAGTCTAGATTTCACATAATTTAACTTAATGTTTTGTATTGATTTAAATAATTAAACCTTATAAAACATTTTCTGTATCTATTTTCATTCCATCCTTATTTGTTTCTTTTACTCAGACCAAAAGATTAATTGGTTGGACAAGACCATATTAACTTATCGTGACGATCACATCAATCAGTCTCATTTTCATATTTGCTCCAATTTTGTCACTAGTTATGTCCCAAAACAAACAATGTGAACTAGGAACACTATATAGCCACACATGGAATATGAGTTATATGGTAGTTTAGGAGACAATTTTTCCATAGTTAAACTTGAAAATGTAAAACTAAAAGAAAACTTGCCTTATTTAATTTGCTTTTTGGTTCAAGATATACAACTGTTGTATAAATAACACCTTTTTTTATTTTTAATGTTTTTTAATTCTATTTTTAATTCCCTTGCAGCTTCAATGTGGGGAGTCACTGCTTCTCAAATTAGATTTTCTTTTCTTCATTTTCTTTTTCTTTGTCATTTCTTTCGCTTTGGGTCTTTGAAGGGTTGTTTCTTGGGCTTGTTATGATATTAAATTAAATTATATTGCAAAATATTTACTTATATTTTAAATGATATAAATGTTTATAATAACACAATATTAGCACGATATGCGCACGAAATGTGCAAAATATGTCACATAATTTAATGGTGTTGTATGATCTTAAATTAGATACCTCTATCAAAAAAACAACATAAAAACTGAATTCTTCTTTAGCTTAGAATTAGGAGACTAGGCAAATGATAGGTCCCAAACGCAGCGTGTATAAATGCTAAGATAGCTTGTGTTCTCTTCGGGTGAGAACTTACCACAAATTAGTTTCCTCTTCGGGTGAGAAAGTACCATAACAACTTAGATAATGTTTTGCTTGATAATTCATTACCAACTCGTGGCTGCTTAAATAGCAAAACCACTTAACAACCCATGTACAAGCAGACCGAAACAAAAGGAAAACTAGAAGCTAACAACTGGACTCAAACACACGTAAAACAGAGCATGCAAATACACTTAAAAACAGAGCATAACGGAAATAACATGCAGCAGAAAGATAAACGTGCGGCTTGAAACTCTCTAACTGATCACAACGTCTTCTACGTGCATGCAACATCTTCCTCATCCATGCAAAGTCGTGGCCTATCAATACCTCCCCCATCAAGTGGATCCTTGTCCTCAAGGTCCATATTCGGAAACATCTCCCGTANATTTTGGCTTGTTAACCGGAGCGAAGGTTCGAAATGGCTGGATGGGATCTCAATCCACTAGAAAAGCCAATAGGCTTTCCCGAGTTAATAGTGAGGGCTATTGATTTGAGTAAAATAGTGGGCGCATTATTTAATAAAAAACCATATTAAATAATAATGAACTTTATAATGACTTTATCTTTTCTGCAATTGTAGATTCACCAAAATGAGCATTATGAACCTGCGACCGATAATCGAGAAAGAAAACAAGTTGGATGGATCCAATTTCTCACACTAGTATCAGAATCTTCGGATTATACTCAAGTCGAAAAGGAAATTGTATATCCTTGAAAAGCCATACATGGTTGAGCCTGATCTTGATGCCACATAGGAAGTAAAGGATATTTATCAAAAGTTCCTTGATGATGCTGATGGCGTTCAATGCTTGATGTTAGCATCAATGACACCAATGCTGCAAAAGCAGCATGAGAATATGGACGCTGCTGCCATTATTCTACACCTTAAGGAGCTTTTTGAAGGAAATGATCGACATGAGAGATACAAGGTGTCGAAAGCACTGTTTGGAAGTCGTCTGACTGAAGGAGCCCAAGTTGGTCCTCATGTGGTCAAAATGATCGAGCACATTGAGAGGCTTGAGACTTTGAGATTTGAGTTGGATGCAGAATTACAGATGGATTTGATTCTGCAATCCTTGCCAGACTCATATGCACCATTCATAACGAACTTCAATATGAACACAATGGTGAAAACCCTGTCGGAGCTTTTGAACATGCTGAGGACTGCAGAGTAGGACTTGAAAAAGTCCAAGCCTGTTTTACTGGTTGTTGTCGGTAAAGGAAAGGGTAACGGCAAAGGTAAGGCCAAGGCCCCTTGCCCAAGGGACAGGTTGCTCTTGGGCCTGAGAGTGGCATATGGAAGGGCAAAGTAGTCTACTTTTATTATGGCAAGCCTGGCCACTGGAGGAAACACTACAAGGCTTTCCTTGCAAGCAAGAAGAAGTCAAAGGCTACGACTTCAGGTATATTTATTATTGAGATTAATTTCTCTCCCACAACATCTTGGGTCATTGACACAGGATGTGGTACTCACATTTGTATTGATGTGCAAGGACTAAGGCAAAGTAGAGTGCTCGCCAAGGGAGAGGTGGACCTACGAGTTAGAAATGGAGCACATGTGGCTGCATTGGTTGTAGGGATTTATTGTTTATCTTTGCCGACGGGCTTGTTATTGGAATTACATAACTGTTATTATGTATCTTCTATTTCTAGAAATATTATTTCAGTATCCGCTTTGGATAATATGGGGTATCATTTTGAGATATCTAATGGATTGTTGTCCTTTAGTTTGAATGGTCACTACAACAAAAAGGGTTTTTAGCTACAATTTTGTTAGCGACGATTTCAAAAGTCGTCGCCAAAGGTAACTATTAGCGACGAAATATGAAATTGGTTGCCAAAAGTTTTGCGGAATTTCTAATCCTCTCACAAGATGGCGGGAAGCAAATTGGCGACGGACTTAGCGACGACATAATTCGTCATACAATGTTTTTGCCGACGAAAATAAAAAAAGTGACACCCAAGTTTTTTTGCGACGTAACTATATGTCGCCGTGGATACTTTTAAGAGACGAAAATAATACAAAACATAGCCAAAAGTATTTAGCAACGCAAATGCATGGCGCCATAAAATGTTTTTGGCGACGAACATATATAAAGTGACGCCAACGAAGTTTAGCTACGCAACAAAAGGCCCGTTGTAATACCTTTTCGGCGATGAAAATATAAAAAACAAAGCAGAATCCATCTGGCTACGCAACAAATTGTGCATCAGGAAACGTTTTTGGCGACAAAAATATAAAAAATGACATAAAATCCATCTGGCTACACAACAAATTGTTTGTCGGGAAACGTGTTTGGCGACAAAAATAGAAACAATGATATAAAATCCATCTAGCTATGCAACAAATTGTGCGTCAGGAATGGTTTTTGGCGACGAAAATATAAAAATGACGCAAAATCCATCTAGCTACGCAANAAGATATTTCCATTCCATTACACTAAAATTTATCCCACTTCACCTCCACCTTGGTCAGCCACCAATGTCCGTTGATCAGTGATTACCTCACATATTACGTTACCTGCTTGCCTATTACCTTACCTGCTTGCCCTTCCAAGAGTAATAGCTACAGTTTTTGACATCCGTGGCCTGCTGTAAAACGTTCATTGCAGTTGAAACAGAGACCTTGTGCTCTCTTCCTCTGTATTTCCTCCCATAATAATCGCTTGATCGGATCAGCAGGTGCTGCGGGAGCTACAAGAGCTGCTGGTGGAAGAGCTAGAGGAGCTCGTGCAGGTGGGGGTGGTTGTAAGAACTCCCGCTGCCGTGTGAGTTGTTCGTCTCTCATTCGTGCCAAGTTAATGGCATCCTTAAGGGATTGCGGTTTAAACATTCTAATCCCATCGGCAATTTCAGCATTTAAGTCACCCATGAATGTCCCAACCAGAGCCTTTTGAGTCCATCCTCGTACCCGATTGGCCAAGTGTTCAAATTCTCGCTGGTAATCACGTAAAGAGCCTGTCTACATGATTCTCGAAAGAGCTTCATCAAAATCTTCGCACTCCGAAGGCCCAAAGCGAGTCTTCAAAATTTGCCCATGAAAGAGCGCGTCCTTCCTCTTGGAATGTCCTACGGATCCATTGCCACCATTGGTTGGCCTCTCCTTCCAAGTGGTAGGAGGCCAAAGATACTTTCTGTGCTTCGGAAGTATTCTGGAATTCAAAGAATTGGTTCACACGATTGAACCACTCCGCTGGATCATCTCCTGAGAATATAGGAAATGCAAGCTTCGCTGTCTTGGAGGAGACAACAAGCTGTCCCCCATCGTGGCCTTCACGGTGTTGGTTGCCATGGTTTGGAGGCTCCTGGTTTGCAAGCAGTACATCAGAGAGACGGTTAAGAGTTTCTTCCAAATGTCGTAGCCTGTCCGTCATGCCGAGCTCCATCCGGTGTAGCCCATCTTGCACTTCACCGAGCCCAACCTCTAACTGTTCAATATGCTCTTTATTGGTTCCCAAAATAACCTGCTCTAATACTAATGATAGGTCCCAAACGCAGCATGTATAAATGCTAAGATAACTTGTGTTCTCTTCGGGTGAGAACTTACCACAAATTAGTTTCCTCTTCGGGTGAGAAAGTACCACAACAACTTAGATAATGTTTTGCTTGATAATTCATTACCAACTCGTGGCTACTTAAATAGAAAAACCACTTAACAACCCACGTACAAGCAGACCAAAACAAAAGGAAAACTATAAGCTAACAACTGGACTCAAACACACGTAAAACAGAGCATGCAAATACACTTAAAAACAGAGCATAACGGAAATAACATGCAGTAGAAAGATAAACGTGCGGCTTGAAACTCTCTAACTAATCACAACGTCTTCTACGTGCATGCAATGTCTTCCTCATCCATGCAAAGTCGTGGCCTATCAACAAATAAAATGAATTTCATGGTCCTCTCTTGTATATGTATATATAATTCAAATATACAAAATCTTTCATCTTTCTATATCAAGCAAGAAGTCCCATTTTTTCTTAGAATCCCTCAGTTGGATCTAATTCTAACAAATATTTTTGAAATTTATAAGAAACTCTATTTTTTTTTAATTTTAAAAAAAAATAGAAGATAAGAACAATAAAGAAAGAAAAAAAACACAATAATTAAGGAAGTGGACTATCATACCTATATTTCATGTAGAACTTTTCTGTTCTGCTTGTTTCTGTTACATTTGGAGTCTATCAGAGTAGCAAGTGTTGGTGTTAGGAACGTTTAGCAGAAGCGCCTGGTTGGTCAGATTTTAAAACTTCCTCTCCATAATGCCATTATGATCGTGGCTTGTATTGTATGTTCTTTACAATACAAAATAGATGAGTAAGTGAAATGTTACCAACTCCCTTGTTATATTTTTTTCCTCGTCGAATACTCTCTAAATACCCCAAGTGTGGTACCTCTCTAGATCGATACACATAGGATCTCATGTTAATGGGAATTATCCTGCTACAATGGAATCAAGAACAATTTTTTATTTGGGATGACAAAGAATTTGGAGATTAAACTCTAAGAAGAATGACAAACAAGTTGCTAATCTTCTTGGATGTGCTTCGATGGCTAGGGTTTTTTTTTTCTTTTATAATTTTTCTTTTTCTGTTATTTCTCATACGTTATATTATAATGAACCCTAAGTCTCCTTTAAATAGCCATTTAATGTTAGATTATTAGGCTATCCTTAGAATATCTTATTCTAGTTTAAGTATTTAATCTTGTTGCCCGTTTGAGTGCTAGCCCAATTTGGGTCCAAGATTAATTATTAAACAATTTATAAAGTTTCCTTATTTGGACTTAATTTTTTAAATTAATTAATAATTAATTTATCCAATTACAAGAATAGCATTTTAACCAATTCTACTAATTAGTCAACTAGGAGTCTTCAGAAATTTTAACATTCTAATTAACTCTTTAATGAGAGAATCCCTGATCCCATCAAGCTTAGAAATCCTTAATGTGTGTGTGACCTTTCTAAGTTCATTTATCGATCGACAATAAGGTAAATATCAACTCTTGATATCCATCTTCCTTACAAACCATGAGTGACACGTAGTAGTATGTTATGGCCTCCAATCAATAAATGAAGAGGGATCATATGAACTTGTAAAAATAAGCATTTCAATCATGTCACCTCATTGCCTCCGATGTCGTGTTCCAATCAAGTGCGGACCATGGTATAGTCAAATTTCTAACTTGATCATATAATTCGAATCATCTTGAATGTGGAATTGTGTCTTTATGAAACTATCATAAAACACAAATGCTTTAGCCAAAGACTTCCTCCACAATTGTTGATCCCGTGGAATACTCAAGCTCATAATATCCGAGCCATCATATTCCTTATTGAATACGCATCTAACACTATACATGATTAACTCATGACCAACAAACACTACACACTAGATATGAACATTCTAGTGATAATGTACTGAAGAACCACAAGCACCCATGCACAAGATATGATCGCATCTCTGGTCTAAGGATAAAGTGACACTAATAGACATAACAATGATCATTGACCGAAGATATTATACCCATGTGATCAATCGTCCGATGGTCACATTCAATGCTTCATTCTCTAATGAATCACCTCATTACTCATGCCTTTATGTACGAGTCTCATCACTGAATCATTAGCATCTCATGCTAATCAATGGCGGCACATAGTAATGCTGATCTTGTGATAACATTGCCCTCGATTATTATCACATCTGATTAGGAACATAATTAAGAGTGAGTCATACAAAAAGAATCCTAATACTCATGTTCTCAAACTCTTTGAAAATAGAGTTCTTTCTAAAACAAGCTTAAGGACATACATAACTTAATTAAATATAGATGACACAAAGTAGCATAAAATAATCGTCATTTTATTAATGATAAAATCATTACAAAGTTTATATATACAAATGTTGCCCTAAACCATACATCTATCATTGGTTTTAAGGCACATACACTAACAACAAGTGCTCCTAAATGTCTTGTCACTAGGAAAAGGATACAAGGGGTATCTTTTGATGTTTTGCATATTTTTTTCACAATTAGCAGTGTTTTTGTGAACTTTTGATTTATGTTTGAGGGATATGATCCACTGTGGAAGTTATTTCATATCTAGTAAAACGTTTGCATTGATCTGAAGTAGTTTTCGATGTCTTGTTTGTTAAGTTTGATGAAATTGATCTAAATAACAGTGAGCTAGACAGCCATTGTTTCAACAAGCGAAGCCTGCTTCTTTTGAATGTGATTTCATATTGTGGTGGATACTAGTTATTTTTTTTATAAAATTTTCATCATGGGTATGTTTGTGGTCTAGTATGTTAACCATATTTGTTTGTTGATTGTAGTTTTTGTGAAGGCATACAATGTCTTTGGAGTAAACTAAAGATGATAAAGATTACAGAAAAATAGTTTGTTGATTGTAGTCTTTGTGAAGGCAGACAGTATCTTAGGAGTAAACTAAAGATGATAAAGATTACTGACAAATAGGCAGAAGTAGGTTTTACTGGTGTAATTTCTAAAGTTTAATTAGTTCCTTCCTGTTCTATCTTTGGCTCCCCGAAGAATCGTATATAATTATTACTTTTAGATTAGTCCATGAATATTCTTTCCCATTTTGTTCTGACTTGATATAGGTGCCATTTGAAGTTCTTGTTCGAAGGCAAATTGCCCGTTTGTTAGATTCAAGCCTTCAGCATGTCGGGTTCATATACGATGAGTTTATAAAGGTACATCATTACTAACTTGCTATATTTGTGTTCTCGTAGCACGAATGTTTGCCATTGCAAATTTTCTAATAAAATTAACTCTCCTTTCAGATTAGCCATCGCTGTCTTATGAATGAACTGCAAAGCTTTCCTGTTCTTAGAAAGCATATGGATGAAGCTACAGTAAACTTTCGGCACGAAGGGCTTGAACCCTCTGAGACCTTAATGATAGGACACATTATTGAAATGGAGGTATACTGAAAACATGACTCCTTGAAATCTCATTGCTCTTTATATCTAAACTTTTATATATTGATAGTTAATGATTTATTCCCTTTTGATTAAGGGTAATGTGATTCCGAGTTCCAATAAAAAACCAGGGAAATACTGAAATTTAATTTTGTCATTGCTATTTGGTGTCACTAGAGTTAGTCGACTTTAGACCATGCTGTCTATGTCTTGAAACGGTATATTAGTTTGGTTATGAGTGTGATTTGTTCTTCACTGTTGGCTAGTCCTTAATTTTTCTGCTTGATTCAGAACCACCATGCAAGTTGAAATTTTTAATCTTACTTCTGCTTATGTACTTATGGGCTCCATCTTCCTATTACATTCTTAATTTCCTCACTGCTGTGACAATGTCCATCGTATCTGTGACTGAAATGGCTTTTGTATTTTTCAAACATTGTTGTCATTATGATCGTAGTACCCTCCAAAATTTGTGTTGGACACAATTGTTGTGGTTGCAAGATCAAACATTTTAGTAATGCTGTCTGCGTTTACATGTTTTTTCCCTGCTTTCCTTTGCTATTTTATTTTAATTACACCCGCACTTTTTAACTTTTCTGGTCGATTTTCTTGTTTCATGAAACTTTTCTATCTTTGCTTTTCAAAAGAGTTACGGAGATTTACAAATAAGCGACTCAAACTTGTCATTAGGTCAGGAAAATTTTGGTTTTGACGTATGATTAAGCTTCCCTCTTTATCTTCTCCTCTAAATATTTGTTTATTTCTGGTTGCTCTTACTGGTTTTGATCTGGAGAAGCAGCTTTAAAATGTCAATGATCAATCAATCTATATTTGCCAATCTTTGCGGGGACATTAAGAGGTTCTGTTTATGGCTACCATATGTAATATTTAATCTTCTGCTATTTAATATAGAATAAAATAGTAAATTAATTTAAATAATATTGTCTAACTGCCTTCCCTACACTATAAATTCACGTCAGAATCCAACAGCATTCAACATTAAAATAAATAAAAATACTCTAAATAAATTGGAAATAGTTCAACTATATTTTTTTTCTTTTACCAACCAAAAAAAAAAAAGTTTATATAAAGATGTACTTTCATTTCCAGTTAAACGGTGTCGTGTGTGACAATAAATATGTACCAGTAATAACTAACTTTGCCGCTAACAAATCCAGACCCTTTTTGACTCTCTCATCTCCTTCAACGGTTCTCATACCCAAAATTTTGCAAGAAAACACTTTCCCAGAAAATGCCTCCTATTTTCCCAAGAATAGCCAACGCCTCCCTCCACACTATTCAACGTACTCCTTTAACCCAACCAAAACAAGAGGCTTCTCTATAAGAGAAGCTCTCGTAGCTTTCTGGATGCTGCTGTTTAATGTACTTCTAATTCCCAACTCCAACTCTTCTCAAGGAAAATATTTTTTTTCTCATTTTCTCTCCCTTTACATTCACAACTTAAATTGGTGAAAATTAATTCAGTTCAAGATTCTTTCAATTTTCTCACTTCCTTGAGCATTTTGAAGCCCCAAATGCATCAAGATTCTAACATTCATACTATTCACATAATATCTTGTATTTTCATCGATTAATCATATCCCAATTTATGTTTATCTCAAATATTATTATAATAGTATCCCTATTCACTTTTGGATTACCTACAAATCACTTTTTTTTTTTTTAATTTTTTCGTTTGAATCTCTCATGAATAGTTAGAGAAAACTGTTCTAATAAATCGTTTTCAATATTCTTTTACTAAATGAAAGAGAAATTATTTTCTTCCATAGAGAACATGGCTTCCGGTAGGGTTTTAGTTCATGGCTTTTACGTACAAGTCTTTTCAGAAAATGCAGGGAAAGTCTCTTCCCTCTCCTAAACAAGCAACTCATATTGTAATACATTTAATTTAGATTAGCCTTTTAAGCTGAATCAAATGCAATCGAATTTAATTTCCTCCCATATCTCATTAAAATATATAAATATATAACCATTGTGAATTTTTAAATGTTTCAATAATCAAACAACAATACAAAAGAAAAAGTAAACTGTAATGAGTTAGTGCTTAATAAATAATCTCATTTTTCATTTTATATTTTACAATCAAATTTCACTCTTTGAGTTTTTTTTTTTTTTTAACATGCATAAGCTATGAAATACTAATAATGTTAAAGAGTAAAAATTGTATTTCATATAAGAGTAAGGCATAGTCATATCTCGACTAATCCTCAGGATTCATTAAACACCCTATAAATCCAATGAACCAGCTAAATCACAAATATGATAAGTGACCACTTGATAGAACTCAAATACAAAATCTCTAGATAACCTAAAATCTTGTTATCCGGCACATTTGCTCTATTTTCTATTTCAAATACATAGAATTGCATTTAAAGTTGTTCCACTGAAATTAGATAAAGTCAATAAAGGGTGGCTATTTTTATTATAATTTTGTGTCAGCAATTTAAAAGACCTCATCCCTTGAAGGAAATTAAATATTAATAATAAATAATTCAAATAAAACTTACTCTATAAAAGTTAGTTAGGATTAATACCCAGAGAATCAAACATCACTCCAATAATTTTGATTAAATATTAGTAAAACGAATCAAAATAAAATTTAATCAATATTTATTATTTTTATTCAATTAGTTAAGTGTTAATAAAAATAATAAAGGCAAAATTTATTATTAAAAATAATGTAATTAAATAACTAATAATTACTTAACCATTAAACTTAATTATCTATTATTAAAATAATACAATTAATACAAAACATAACTAAAAATTACTAATAAAAACAGTTTTTAAACAAAAATGCCGAAGATGTTTCATTATTTACATGTTCCAATCATTTAATATTCTTAAAAAACTGAAATGAAAACAAAGAATTCATAAAAGAATACAAATATTTCTTTGAAATTAAACCCAGAAAACTTTAAAATTTAGTCCTCGAGTTGTATAACCACCTTTTAACCAGTGATTCAAATATTGCTCAACAAACATAAACATATAGTTTCAACTTTATGTAATCCATTTAACAAGTCCCAACTCACTTCGCAAATAGAACTCTCAAAAATTTAAACTGCCCCCCTACTGCAGGTACCATATTTAGTAAAAAAGAATAAAAATTAAACTTGTATTTTCTGAGAAGTCCTGTACTATATTTAAATCCTCAAAAATGAAGAAAAAAAAAAAGGTGAATACAAGGCTTTCCATTCCTTACCACTGTAAATCTGCTGCTTGCGTGCTAACTGCATCAGAATTTGTAGTAAGCTAGACATGAACTTCTATGGTAGTCCGAAGAACATACAACTTAATCTTTTATCTATGCACATATCAAGCCATGCTTTTTATGAGCAGTTGCCAATCATAAAATGCTTAACCATTGTTGTCGTGCTGCACCCTTCCAGTTATCTCCGTGCATAAGCCGTTGGCAAGGGACCTATGTGTCTGTTTTCCCTATCAGGCTTCTTACTAATGCCTGGATCTATAAGACTGGCTTTACTGTAAGAGTTGGATTTGGTTTAACTCGGTTCACTTCTCTTTCATCTGGTGGCTGTAAAAATATCTGTTCTCCATCTCCAGTTCGAAACTTCATCTTCATTCACAAGACCTGAAAATACTATTCTATTAGAAGAGAAGAACACTCTATGAATAAGCAAGAAACCAGCAAACAATTAAATGAAAAACAAAAACAAAACAAGCAGCTATAAACCACTAAAGCAATCGGGGTATTGCCAGTAATGAGCACATCAAAAGTACTTTATGAGAATCTATCATAATATTATAACCAATAAAAAACAAAACAAACAGTTCTGATTTTCATTCATCAAGTTAATGACTTCTGTCCATGTGAGTTAGGGGTGTAAAGAGCCGAGCCGAGCCGAGCTTTTGGTTATCGAGCTCAGCTCGTTTACAACAGTGTCGAGCTCGAGCTCGAGCTCGAGCTGGCGAGCCTCAAAATGAACTCGAGCTCGAGCTCGAGTCGAGTTAGAGCCAGCTCGAGGCCGCGCTGATAGCGAGCTCGAGCTCGATAAGGTTGATCAAACCACCATTTATCCGGGTTTGATTGAGCCAAGTTCCCCTTTTTTACAGCAATTTGCCTGGGTACAGCATTTCAATTTCATCCAATGTTGAATTAACCATGATAGTTTCAAACATTACAAAATGTCTATTACCTTACAAAATCAAAAAACAGTTTTAAATATATACAAATAACATCCTAGGAGATTACCGATTTCAGAGTGTCTGTTCGCGATTTGGGATTTGGGGGTCTTTGATTGCGATTTGGGATTTAGGGCAACTGGGATGGGGAACTGAAATTGAGTAATTGACGCTCTGTTTTGGTGTATCGTGTTATTTCAAATTTGCATTTGGGGGGTAAACTGTCATTTTTTCAAACACCTTTTTCATGAACCCACATATCAAGAATACCTAATAGTTTAAAAAATCACCAAAACACCCTGTGAAGTGTACAGTGCTTAATCGAGCCGAGCCAGGCTCGCGTGTGAAGACTCGACTCGATTAACGAACCGAGTTCGAGTCGAGTCGAACCGAGCCTTATCGAGCCGAGCTCTAAACGAGCTTTTATCGCTCGGCTCGGCTCGTTTACAGTCCTAATGTGAGTGTTGATGTTTTCCATTTGCCTAGCAGAAATATGGAGGGGAAAACTGTCTGAACAGAGCGTATTAAGTAGTGCAATTGTTTATGATAATAATTATGAAGAGTAAGGACAAAAAATATAAACAGAGGTAATAAAAGTTTTCAAGCCTTGCATATGTGTGGTGGGCATTACGTTTACACAATTGGAATGCAAAATATAGGCGGAAATTTTGGCCATAAGCAAAAATTGATACCTTGCGACCAACCAAATCAAAAGTCACAACTACTTTACTTCGATTGGCCCTTTCAGCTTCCTCAATCTCCTCCTGTTTCTTCCTTAAAAGTTCCTTTTCCTGGGAGCAAAAAGTCAATCCCAAGCTAATTTAAGCACATGCACAGAGAAAGAATACAACTGTATGCTTGGAAGGATTAGCAAGCAACTAGTTACCTCCTTAGAAAGCCAGCTATTTCCCTCAATCTCATAGTAGTCACTTTGGTCATCAATAACTGTTGTACGAGCTGCAGAGTTTCGGTCATATTCAACAAGCCTTTTTGCATAAGCCTCAGCTGTTGCTTCAGCATCTGATAGGGGAGCTAAACTTTCTTCCAGACCAGCATACGTGCTTCCTTCCTTCAGCACAAGGGCACCACAAAACTGGCAAGGTCCCTCCCCCTCTTGTTCACAAACTATCTTGCCACAAGACAAACAATTGCTGATCAATCTGTGCTGACGTGCTTGACAAGAGCATGGTTTTCCCTGTTGGAATACAACTGAACCTTTAGCAGCCTCAGCAAGAGAAACAACTTTTCCAGCTTTCTTCTTTTTGCTACTAGTTTGGTTCCCTTTATTCACAGTTCTTGACTCACTGCTCTCAGCTGAGACCCGGTTTTCATGATAACTGGAGTTAGCACCTTTTTTTGGTTCCACCTGATAACTTGAGGCCATAACCGTTTTAGGTTTAGCCTGATAACTGGGGCCTGTAACCTCTTTTGGAGTTTTCGATGGTTTCTTGAATCCACTAGCAGATCCATCACCAGAGCGTGGTTTAACATAGGCATGTAATTTAGAAGTTGTAACATCTGGAGTGCTGCTACAGAGCTCTGAGTGACCTCTGCGTCGAAGATACTCCTCAATCACGCTTTTGCCCACTTCTTGGCCAATAATATTCTGCAATGAAAATCTAGATTTGTAAAACTTTAAAAAATGAACTCCACCATAAATATTCGCGAATAAATTCAATTCTAATTGTTTTGCTAATATCTGCCTTTCTAAACTTCTAAATGCAAATGTATTCTCACTTCTGATTCTATATAAAACATTAACAAGCTACAGACTAATTTGTAATATTTATTCGTGTGGTCTCTGACACTGTGGCTTCCCCTAACCTAATTCTTGGCACCACAATGATATAAATCAAGGACCAAAAATACTATCAGACTGAGATTGTTTTATAATTAGGATACTATTTCGTATGATGGCCAATCAGTGCCCAATCCCGAGAACTATGCCATCAAACTTAATCCCAAAAATTAAGCCAAAAGCGAAAGAAAAACCCATTAACTTCAAACCCACCAAGCAAACTCACAAATTGAGAACATCAAAGACAGAGAGAAAGAGATAATTACGTCGAGGTACTCTTTGGCGTCGAGTGGTTGAGCGAATTCACAATAGGAGACTAAACCCGAAATTATCTCCCGGTCCAAATCCAATCCCGTCTTGACTCTCTTGCACAGATCCACCAGCGCTTCCTCTAGCCATTGTCCCGCGGTCTCCATTCTTTCTCAGTCTCCTTGCGAGAATGCAAAGAGTTCTATTAATCTCAGGGTTTTAACAGAGAAAAGAATCAAGATTTTGTTTAAAGGAAAAAAGAAAATAATTACGAAATTAAATGAGTTGATTTCATTTCTTTTAATGAAAATGGGTAGAAATTTTTTCATTTTTTCACTAGTGATGAATTAAAAAAGTGGCCATTTTATTTAAAGAAAACTGACCACTTTGGTTAAGATTCCATATTCCAAACTATAAGAACTAAGAAGACCAAAGTCTTTTGACTGATACATATGACTAATTTTGAGATTTCATAAATTTAAATGGCTAGTTTTTACTAAATATATGTAAAAGTGGTTGTTATTTCAAATTATTGCAATAATAGAGACTAGTGAGGCGGCGCAGTTTGGTAATATGACAGGTACCAAACCTGTTTTTTTGGGAGTGTAACTTGCACTGGTAAAATTAGTTGAGATGCTAAACGCTAGAAGCCTACAATATGTGGCTCTGCTCGAAGAACTTAAATTGGTATGTAATTTTTTGGGCTCTGGTAAAATGTATATGATTGGAGGACATAGAAGATGTAATTTTCCAAAGAACAAATGGATTTTGTACATTGATTTCTATGTAGAAAGAGCTCGCTGTCCATGCTGCTATTTCTCTGGCATTATAGATATCCAAAACTAACCATAACGCACTTCACTTGTCCTGCAATTCCAAGCTACTTGAGAGCCAAAGAACCCGATCCTGCAAAGGAAAACAATACTGTGAGATAATCAATTTGCTCACATACATGACAATCAGGGTGAAAGGCTGAAAGTTGAATGTCACTAGCACTTCAAATAAGTGAGCAGAGTTACAAGTTACAGAATATCAAACAGTTATGGAGAGGACAATCTGAGATAGGCTGCATGCTCTCATAATATGCACTTGTTCCCAAATAATCTTATAGGTCAAAAATTCACATTAGATTCCAACCTTATACATGAAGAAAAAGCAAAAGAACACAAAGTGGGGATTTGATGACTTACAGGATTGCAAAGGATGCTAAGTTTAATGAAGTATTTTGCCGCACAAATTTGAATTTTTTCCTCCCTGCATTGATAACCAATATAGCAACTAACAGTCTGTTGGGATCTTGATCAGTCTGTCATATGTTCCATCTGATTTAATGTGAACATGAACGCCAATTTTTAGTAGAACATTGACTGATTACCAGATATGTGCCAAACTCCAACCAGTTTGTAGGCTTCCGAGATATATCAAGATTTACCATTCAGATCGCAGCTTTATTTCACATAAGACTCCAACCAGGTTCCTTGTCAACTCCAGCTCCCCTCATCTGGCTCCTGACCTCCAGGACGTCTTCCCAGTGGCCAACTTCGGCACAGATATTTGACAAGGAAACATAAGCTCCAGCATCGCGTGGATCCAACTTCATAACATTCTCAGCTGCTACCCTTCCAAGTTCAATATCTCCATGCACTTTACAAGCAGCAAGCAGCGTTCCCCATACCAAAGCATCAGGTTCTATGGGCATGTTTTTTATGAACTTATCAGCCTCTTCTAATCTCCCTGAGCGACCAAGAAGATCAACCATACAAGCATAGTGATAGTTATTAGGCTCGATTCCATAGTCTTTGGTCATTGAATTAAAATGGAAATATCCCTCTTCAACCAAACCATTATGGCTACAAGCAGATAAAACCCCGACAAAGATCACTGAATCAGGTCTGTTTCCTTTATTCTTCATAAGCTCGAAGACTCTCAAAGCCTCTGCCCCTTTTCCATTTTGAGCATAGCTTGTTATCAAAGCTGTCCAAGCTATCAAGTCAGGTTCATCAATCTGTTCAAATGCTTTACAGCAATCTTCAACACTTCCAGATTTTGAATACATTGTAACAAGCGAACTTGCAACAGCAATTTCAGAGTCTAAACCCATTTTTATGATGTAGCCATGCAGTTGAGTCCCAAGGCCTGATCTGTTCAAGAGAGAAATAGCTCTAAGAACAGATGAAAGCATGAAGGAATCAACTGCCAAATCGGACATCAGCATTTCATGGAACAACAAGACTGCATCTTCAATTAACCCATTTTGGGCATATCCCGAAATTAAAGAAGCGCATGAAACCTGATCTTTTAGAGGTAGAATGTCAAACACCCTCCTAGCTGACTTTAGTGCACTGCACTTTGAATACATGGTTACAAGTGCACCACCAATAAGTGTTTCTTTGTCAATTCCAGCACGAAGAGCATACCCATGAACTTCCTTACCCTTTTTCAGAGAAGGAAGAGCAAAACAAGATTTAAGAATTGCAGAGAGAGTCTGTTGGTCGACCATAGTTTCTTCAAATAGCATCTCCCTGAATAATTGAAAAGCTAAATGTGTAAAGCCATATTCCGAATATCCGGCAATCATTGAGGCCCACAAAGCACTGTCTCTGATAGAAATTTGCTCAAACACTTTATAAGACTCCTCTAAACTCCCACACTTGGAGTACATTGTTAAAAGAGAACAACCAACAGAAAGATCATGTATCAAGGCAGCTTTAAGAGCACAGCAGTGGATTTGTCTCCCCAAATCTAAAGAGTCTATAACGCTTAAAACACTAGAAATACAAAAGTTATCAGGTTTCAGACCTTCCCATAACATTCTTTGTAGCAATTCAATTGCCTTTTGAGAACTCTGATTCTGAACAAAAGAAGATATCATAACAGTCCATGTACTTGGACTCACTCTATCTTCCATCTCTCTAAACACCTTCTCAGTTAAACCAATATGCCCTATTTTTGAGTACATATTGATTAGTGCAGCCACCACCACTGGATCCAAATAGAATCCAGTTTTTAGAATCCATGAATGTATCTCTTCTCCCTCTTTCATCATATATGGTTTTGCACAGGCAGCAATTACACTTGTAACTGTAAAGATGTTAATTTCCACCCTCGTTTTCCTCATTTCTTTAAAAAATTTGAGGGCAAAGAAAGAATCACCCTTCTGCACAAAGCCAGAAATGATAGCAGTCCAAGAAACCACATTACGGATTGGCATTCGCGAGAATTCTTTCTTAGCATCATCTAGATCTCCACATTTAGCATACAAGTCAACAACAGCAGTCCCCAGAAAAACATCTTTTGCACCACACTTGATCAACTTCCCTTGAATTTCTTTCCCAATCTCAAGTTCCCTAAGTGTAGCACAAGCCGACAAAACACTCGAAAATGTATAACTATTTGGAACCAGAGACCTATGATCCATTTGGCGAAACAGATCCAAAGCAATCCAGTAATTTCCATTCCTCACAGCCCCAGATATAATAGAATTCCAAACAACAACATTCTCACATGAAGCATCACCAAACACCCTCAAAGCATCCTCAAAAGTAAAATTCTTCGCAAACAAATCTATCATTCCAGCCCGAACATAGCCACTTGTATAGAATCCATTTTTAATTGCTAAGGAATAAACTTGCATACCAAACAAAGTAGCTTGCAATGCGGAACAAGCAGAAAGAACACTGCCATAGGTGATCTCATCAGGTTCAAAACCAAAAAAGAGCATCCTACAAAATAACCTCCAAGAATCCTCGAATAAAGAACCATTATTATAACCAGAAATCATAATATTCCAAGAAATAACGTTTAACTGAGGAGTTGTATCGAACAACTTGAGTGCGTTAACCATAGAAGATGATTTACAATAACAATCAAGCAAAGAATTGGAGAAAAAAATATTGGTTTGCAGTAAACCTGATTTAAGCAAATGGGTATGTATAATTTTAGTGTCTCTGATGGTGTAGCGTTTTGTTTTAGAATGATGACTGAAGAAATGAAAAGGGTCAAAAGCAGTGACATCAGGCTCATGTTTACTAATGATTACTGATGGGCTGCTACCGATAACTGCAAGAGAAGATTTTAGTTTTCCAATGGAAAGTGAGACTTTGGTTAGTTTGTTTTTACCGATGAGATGATTCATTTGGCTCATAGAGATTTGTCTTTTGAAGAGCGCCGGAAGCCGGGAACAAAGCGGCCATATCACATAAAATTAGTTGAGATGCTAAACGCTAGAAGCCTACAATATGTGGCTCTGCTCGAAGAACTTAAATTGGTATGTAATTTTTTGGGCTCTGGTAAAATGTATATGATTGGAGTACATAGAAGATGTAGTTTTCCAAAGAACAAATGGATTTTGTACATTGATTTCTATGTAGAAAGAGCTCGCTGTCCATGCTGCTATTTCTCTGGCATTATAGATATCCAAAACTAACCATAACGCACTTCACTTGTCCTGCAATTCCAAGCTACTTGAGAGCCAAAGAACCCGATCCTGCAAAGGAAAACAATACTGTGAGATAATCAATTTGCTCACATACATGACAATCAGGGTGAAAGGCTGAAAGTTGAATGTCACTAGCACTTCAAATAAGTGAGCAGAGTTACAATTTACAGAATATCAAACAGTTATGGAGAGGACAATCTGAGATAGGCTGCATGCTCTCATAATATGCACTTGTTCCCAAATAATCTTATAGGTCAAAAATTCACATTAGATTCCAACCTTATACATGAAGAAAAAGCAAAAGAACACAAAGTGGGGATTTGATGACTTACAGGATTGCAAAGGATGCTAAGTTTAATGAAGTATTTTGCCGCACAAATTTGAATTTTTTCCTCCCTGCATTGATAACCAATATAGCAACTAACAGTCTGTTGGGATCTTGATCAGTCTGTCATATGTTCCATCTGATTTAATGTGAACATGAACGCCAATTTTTAGTAGAACATTGACTGATTACCAGATATGTGCCAAACTCCAACCAGTTTGTAGGCTTCCGAGATATATCAAGATTTACCATTCAGATCGCAGCTTTATTTCACATAAGACTCCAACCAGGTTCCTTGTCAACTCCAGCTCCCCTCATCTGGCTCCTGACCTCCAGGACGTCTTCCCAGTGGCCAACTTCGGCACAGATATTTGACAAGGAAACATAAGCTCCAGCATCGCGTGGATCCAACTTCATAACATTCTCAGCTGCTACCCTTCCAAGTTCAATATCTCCATGCACTTTACAAGCAGCAAG